TGCCTTCAGTTCTGACGGAACGTTGAGCTTCTCATAGGAAGACATTTGATCGCATTTCGACCGAAGAGTTGCCACTTCTGTCGACAACTCTTCCACGAGCTTCAGACCCGCCAAACCCTCCAATTGCAACACTCGGTCCGCGAGACCGGCGTTTTCGGCCACCAGACGGCCGTTCTCTTCGGCCATACGTTTGGTATCTTCGCTGATCTCCTGGTTCTTCGCGTGCCATTCGTGCAGATTCTTCAGCTGCTGTTTCATAAACGTGTTATTCTTCTCGAGCTCTGCCTTCAGCTTCTCGTTCTCATCCCTCAGTTCTTTCAGATAGAGCTCCAGATTATTGGTCAATATGTTGTCCATCTGTTGGGAACAGCTCTTCACGTGCTCTTCAATGCGGGACAAGTTGTCGGACATGGAGTGCACGGATTCGTTGTCACGGAGTTCGTCGGCGTACGAGTCGGACATCTTGTGGGCGAACAGAACCTGTTGTTCGCACAGCTCTTCGTATTTGGGAAGTGAATCGCCGATCGATTCCATACGTCTTGTGTCCAACTCATCCGTGTTTAGCAACTGTTGGCACTCACTGTCGGCGCCACTCATCTGGAGTGCGGCTGACATACCGTGGATCTGATGGTCGCTGACTGTCATCACTGGATTCGCCTCATCGGCAGAAATGGTCACAATCGACATCGAGTTCGGCGGCGAAGACATGATGGGCTCAATCGCCTCAAACGATCCGTAACTATCATCGGCGGTAACACTCGAAGACATGGCTTGTCTTTAAGACAATGATCAATACAAGCAAAGAAATTATAAAAACAACAAATAAGTGGTAAATAAAGCGCTGAAGAGTGAGTACTAATGGATCAGTTGTGTGGACACGACTACAAAGCGATTGCCTATCAGTTGTCAAAACATTGAATGAATCACTCGTTTGTGTGAAACAAGTCTTTTATAATGATTTCAATTGCGTTTAAAACTCATTGAAAACTCAAAATAACTTTTTTTGTACACAAAAAACGTGTGCAAAACACCACCACTTTTAGCACTACTGTCAACGCAAAGGGCTTTAAATATGATGTCTATAATCGGGTCGTTATTTGTGTCGATTCCATGCATTGCAATGAGTGATGCAATTCAGCACACATTCAATGTAAGGATACTTTTGATAAGTTTATGAAAACTAGTTTTCCCTCAAAGACATCACACATTAAGCTATCATTTCCTCATTTAATTGTTTTTATATTTATTATTTAATTATTCAAAAAAGTCAATGAATTTCATGTTTTTTGATCCGATATTGAAATATATATCGCATTCAATTCAGGGATGACTTATACAGCTTAAGGCGATTAAGCATTGAATCAAATCAAATTACCCCCGGTTTGAGAAATATATTCGCAGCTACATTGATGATTTATTGTTTGCGTATTTTAATAACCACTCTAGAATAGTCTAGATTACATTGAAATTAGTGAGCAATGCACATTTGATTAAATAAATATTTTTCACAATGCATTTCATTGTTTATTATTAATAATAAATTATTGTAAATGCATTTTTAATACCCGACTATCACTTTATCCGAAAGTCATACCAAACTTTATATTAAAAGTTTGCCTGTTTTAAAATTCATTGCAATTATGGGTTTTTCATCAAAACCCATACATTTATTATCATATCTTTGAGTCCAGAATAAGTCAATATATAATGTTTGTATACATGTGTACACATTAACTATCATTATGGTTAATATGCATTAAATTTCATAAAATGATATTAATAAAAAAAATACATTAACTTTTGGTAATTTAAATGCTATAATAATAAACGAGAGACACATAAAACAAAAATAGTTTCTTAAAAATGTAATAAATTGATAGCAAACAAAAAAAACAACCATTAATTTGCATAAAATAGTCGTCCAATTGATTTGAAAGCGATTTTTTACATGTTAATAATGCGCGCATTTAAATACATGATGAAAAATGTCACATGAATTAAGTTGTGGTTCTGGTGTTGTGGTGGTTGTTGTGGGCGAACGTGTATTTCTAAATGTAGATTCAAATCGTGAACAGAGTGTCTATTTTAAGCACTTAAAAGAGCTGCCAATATAAGTAAACTACTAAACAATTGTCGCTTTCGCCAGCAATTCAGTGCATTTTGGATGCGACGGTAAAAATAGCTCTCATCTCTGCGCTCCTGTACTCAATATATTTGCACATAAAATCATATAATCATATAATTTGCGATAAATTCCCATTTTGTGTTAATATTCAAATTCTAGTTATTTTCAATAGGAATATCATCACCAGAATTGTGTCACAGGAATTCAATCACTCAATTGTTTGTAAGTAAGTGTATATTCACGCGGATATCAAACTATAATCATGTTGTTTGCCATCAGATTTTGCTAAACCGATAGGCAATTCTTATCATCGAAACAATGGCTACATTTGGAAGTCAAGTGGACTTAATATTAACGATTCTGTCCATATGTGTGGCGATGTGTGTCGTGGCGTTGATTGTGTTTATGGGAATGTATGTGTATTACACTAAACGTGATAAACGTATCGCCCGACGGACCCAACAAGTGAACGCTCTGCTCATAAAACGCTTGTCCTCCACAACACCGCGCATTCAAATCGCCTAAAATACATGTACGAGAAATGTGTGTCCATTATATTGATCATAATGTTAGGTATAAATGCTGTTATGATTTAATGACAACATTTTAATATTGTATTCACATATAATTTTTTTAAAATAATTACAATACAGACATATATTTGAGTATACAATTCACGCATAACTTAAAACATTGAGATTTAAATTAACAATCAAATAAAAATTTCTAAATATATATCAAAAAGGTTTTCAATTATAAATTATGATGTATTGTGTATATGAAACATACCGTAGAGTAAACATCTTTTAATAGAATCTCTTTTAATATATCTTTAACTGATATCTATATGAAGAAGAAAATTGTTTAATATTGTAATAAAAGCACTCATAAGTACTTATTGTATATTTAAATATATATAATAAAGGGTCTGAAAAATGTAATGTTTAGGAACTTTAAAGCCAAACGATAAACATATAATAATATATAAATATTTATATCTGAAAATGAGATTATTATTATAGTTATTAAATTTTATATAAAGTTTTCAATTTATATGAATTTTGCAGAATTCGTGGGGAAGTCTCGATCACACGAACCAATAGATTGTCGATATAATGCTCCAAATCATTGATTTGCTCGTTTAGACCCAATATTGTCAACTGTTGGGATTCAATCAATTGAATCAATTCCTATGCAATCAAATAAACCAAATATACATTAATTGTATATTATATGAAATTGTAATTAATTTTATCATTCAATTATTTCATAGGCTTATTATAAACTGCTTTGCGTTGCAAACAACTTACATATTAAAACATTTTTCATTTATTATTACTACCGGTTATACATCCATATTATTTATCCATAAATTGAATATTATGTTTAGGTCTTAAATTTGATTTTGACTTAAGATATATTAAACTGATATCTCATGCATTAAATTGAAATTATATTTTATTTGTTTTAATTTACTAAATCCTTAAAAGTAATTTAGAATTATATTAAAACTGATATATCATTGTATTTATTGAATTAAATTTCTAAAAAGGTCGTTCACATTAAAAATCAAATACAGTACTTATTAAATTTCTATGATAACCAATAATTTAAAAATTATATAAATGTCATCCAAAATTTCAATGAAACTGTGTATTTTCAAAGTAAAAAAGTTCAGCATGTACTTTTAAATAGCAATTAATTCCTACGATGATGATTATTGACTCACAAAATGTTTTTTCTATCAACAGTTATTGACTCTAATTATATAATAACAAAAATTGTGTGCAATTTGTAGGAAAAATAATCGTCTGAAGAGTTCATTGAAATAATAGTTTCGCACAAATCATAGGAAAAAACAATAAATATATTTTTTAATAGAGAAAAGTGTTTGCAAAACAATGAAAAATTAACTCATACTTCAAAACCAGACAATAATGTGTGCATAAAAATAATTGTCAATAATTATGGTAATTATGAACGCATACAATACTATGCGTTTGAATGTTGAATGAATACCTCTTTATTAAGGCCGTCGTATTTCTGGTGATAATCGGTTTTGGATTGTTTTCGGTTAATAAGCGATTCCAAGGACGAGTAGAGGGAGTCCGGACTGGCCTGAGTGGCCCTCTTCTCAACCGCAACCGACGGGTGCTTCAGATTCGCCATAATCTCGTCGATGTCTAGTGTATGCCGTCTTTCAGCTGCAATGAACACAACAACATAACCATTATTATTATAAAACACAATTGAGATGTCTTTCCGACAAAACAACAAGAATTTTATAGTCTTTTTATATAAAAAACAATTGACGCAAAAAACTTTAATTACTTTTCTTAAGCGCTGCTAATATTCTTTGTCTGTTTTGTGTTTGTTTTAATGAAATTTTTGTGTCTGCCGTCGAAGATGTCCTGTTATTATTGTAATTATTATTATTTATATGGTTTGGTTGGACATCAGTATTAGTTATTATATCATCTGAATTGATAATCATTGCTCTCTCCCTGTCGAGAGTGGCCGCCTTTGGCACCGGTTTGTTGTGACCGGTGCTCACAAATAGGTTATTACTGCTGAATGCCTTCTTGAGAGTGCCCTTCAGGGGTTGTTTCCACGATTTGGTTGACTTTGATATATCCGATGATATACTTCTTGTCTCACACTTATTATC